CATGTGTCCTTATCTGAAAAGTGGGGACATCTGAAAAATATGCAGAAGCAATTAACTATACCACTTATCAGGAAGAAGGAAAACCAATTAGAATAAAAGAAAGGTTACACTTACGCATATGGTAGTCAAGCTTTAGGACATCAAAGAAAAATGAGGTCTAAAGGACAGAGTTAAAAATGATTATCAATGCATAAGAGTTAGTTTGCTTAACTGCAGTCTCCTCAACAGCAACAAGAGAAACCCCCAAGAGTATGGCCAAAGAGAATGAGAATAAGATTTTATTATTTATGTGTGGCTAAACTGCTCATCAAGATGGTGGACAAAGAAAAGACATTTCCTGATAAAAGTGCAGAGTCCTACTCATTCTTATCTTCTCTGACAGAACCTCGGTTTCACTTGGGCCGCCCCGTCTTCAGACACACACTGCGCATACCTAGCCTCTTTTGCATCGAGGATGGCTGCTTGGTAGTTCTGGCCCCTGAGGCAAAAGACTGGATGCGGAAAGGATTTCTGGAAATGGTGGGAGCCCTAAAGGCTTACTTTCCTGTTACGTGCGCTACCCAGTCTTCTCTTAACCTTCCTTTCTCCTGACGCTGAATGGGGACCCGACTGACCTGAGCTGCAATATCTTAAGAGTTTGAGGCAAAGGCTCAGAGGCCCACAGAAGCCACGCCCTGTAACTACTACCTCTGTACTTTGTTACATGAGGGAAAAAGAAATGAAAGCTTTTTCCATTTTTTTAAAAGATTTTATTTATTTGACAGACAGAGATCACAAGGAGGCAGAGAGGCAGGCAGAGAGAGAGGCTGAGCAGAGAGCCCGATGCGGGGCTCCATCCCAGGACCCTGGGATCGTGACCTGAGCCGAAGGCAGAGGCTTTAACCCACTGAGCCACCCAGGCGCCTCCCCCTTTTTTTGTTTTAAAGAGAAATTAAAGCTTTTTTGGAAGCTCCTGTTTCAGTTAGTCATAACCAAACACATTGCGATTTGTCATGACTGAAGAAGAAAGAAAACTTAATTACCACCAAATATATGACTTTCTGAGAAAACCCAAGTGAATCTACACTCACATTTTTTAGGAACAATAAAAGAGGGATACCTGGGTGGGTTAGCCAGTGAAGTGTCTGGCTCTTGGTTTCAGCTCAGGTCACAATCTCAGGCTCATGAGATTGAACCCCACATGGGGCTCCACACTGGGTGTGGAGCCTGCTTAAGATTCTCTCTCCCTCTCCTTCTGCCCCCACCCCCAGAAACACTGAGAGCATTCAGCAATATATTGATGTAATAAACTTAAACCAATTTGATGTCTGTCTATATACCACCAAGGAGCTCAGAGAATTGAAGGTTTTTTTTTTTTTAATTGAAGTTTTTAAAAGGTATAATTTACAGCATCAACACAAAATATAGGGTTCCTAGAAATAAATCTTATATAAGATGTATAGGATATTTTGGACAAAAGTTTTACATTATTGAAAGCCGTTAAAAAGTTCTAAGTAAATGGAGACAGATATCACATACAGGAATTTACTTCCTCAATTGTTGTATTCTCCCAATTTATCTATAAATGAGAAATAATTCCAATAAAACTCACAACAGAATTGTGTGCATGACACTTGTCAAGTTCACAACATTTGTGAAGATCAAAAAGCCAAGAATAACCATAAAACTCTGGAAGAAGAAAGTTGAGAGACTCCATTAGCCATATTTCAGGATTTATTATAAAGCTAGTCAGGGCAGTGTGGGATGAGCATAGAAAGAAGTGTGTAAGCCAAGAGAAGACACTAGAAATTCAAGTTCTCCCCCTGCACATGAAAACTTTTGGTTGGAGAAAGTAAGATAAATGGTGCGAGGGCAACTCATAATCAGTAATGAAAAAAATCAGATCTGTAGCCCATATCATACACAAAAATCAATTTCAGGGGCAAGAAAAGACCTAAAAATGAGACTGTAACTATACTGTGAGAACGTCTCTATGACTGTAGAGAATAGAAAGATGACTTAAGACAAAAACTACAAATCTCCAAGAAAAAAGATGGATATATTTTGACTTCCTTTAACTTGGATACATTGACTTCCTTTAACTTCCTTTAACTTACTAACCTCAGTGCATACAAAAATGCCATAAACAACTGGAAAAGGCAAAGTATAGCCAGAAGTAGATAATTAGGGTGTGAAGAACCTCTAATAATAAGAAAAAAACAAATAATCCAATGGCTAAATGGGCAAAAGAAAGTGCTGCACAGAAGAAGAAACCAGTAAGACGCTCCTCCCTCTGATGCAGCTGTTCTCCTCCCAAGGGAACGGAGCCTAGAGAAGTGCCAGTACCAGATCCACGACACAGAAGGTTCACAGTGTACTGCTGGGAACTAAACTATGGTCGAATCAGTAGCTTTAACACCAGCTGTCGCGTTTCACTTCTGCGTGACGGGTACAGAGGCACCTTTTCACAGTTATTTTAAAGACAGAACATGATGAGAGATGCTGCAAACTGAAACAGGTAAATCAGGTTTGTTTTCGAACCAGGGGCATCACGTTTTGGAGGGGGTAAAGACTGGGGGACAGCCAGCCTCCACTCCAGAACCCCCGAGGGAGATTTGGGTTTTCGCTCTTTGTTTTTTGTTTTTTTTTTAAAGAAAGGCACATGCAGCACCTCACTGGGAGACGCTCGTTCTCCTGCAAAGGGACCTTGGGCGTCTGGAGGTCCTAACGGGAAGCACAGCTCCTATATCCTGACTGAAAAACGGTCCTCTGTCGGGGAAGGTCATCCACTATGGCCCAGCACGCAGCTTCGGGAGGGATGCACAAGGAGCCGCAGTGAGGGTGGAAGGGGACACTTGACTAGTCAGCCACATCAGCTGAATCAACATTGGCGATCAGTGGGGTGACAGACATGACAGCCAGATCGCCCTCCTGTCCCTGAGGGAGATTTTGATAGGTTTCCCTAGGAGCACCTGCATATTCTCCTTGACCTAAGAAGTGATCAGCACCTGGCTGCTTTCTCCTTCCCGGGCCAACCTGTCACTTCATGGGTTTGACTGACAAGCTGACATTGACCTCAGGGCTCTGCTTTCACAATGACAGCTAGTGAAGCGGGGACCCCGCCCTCTCAGTGGAAGAAATCTAGACACTGCTTTTCAAGTTGCCACTGCTTCATTTCCCAGCTGTTACTACTACTTTTTAGTGACACAATATTACCTATCACGAGACCCCGTTGGGTAGCGCTCTCACTACAGAAAACTGATGAAACACTGTGTCTCAATTCTCTGGCTTTGCCTACTCTATTAAGTTGCTAGTTACATATTTTACATAAAATTGTAGGGGAAAATACTTTTTTCAAAAGTCAAAGCAATCCATAAATATATTAATAATAGTACGCAGCATTTCTGTAGGATTGAAACATTATCACCAACAGTAAGATTAAACACCATATCATGCCCAAAGGACCCTTCCCAGGGTCAACTTTATTATAAAGAATTAGGACATGCGTATTACTGTGGGATACAGAGGATCAGAGGATGTTCTAACGAGCGTGGAAGCAGCCTGGGTAATACTCCAAGTCTTCCCCATCATTGTCAGGGGAAGGAAGCAGGGCCATGCCCGGACTGGCAGCCCTCCTCCCGGCTCAGTGCCCCTCCGGTCTTGGTGCCAGCCCTGAAAAGTGAGGTCCCTGGCACATCCAGAAGGACGTCACCAGTGTCGAGACTGGGTCCCAGGAACAAATGGAACTCCAAAGAGTACAATTGTTTTAGGTTGGAAATGTTTTCAAAAAAAGTTTCTAACAGGAGCTCATGTCAGTTTCAGCTAAACAGCTTCAAAGCCTGTCACATATTTCTGTGCACTAGAGCAGATCTGTCTCACCGTCCTTTCAAATTCTGATGAGCTCTCCAGGCATTGCCTCAAAATATCTCTAGTTTTTCCTAATTGTTTCAGGACTGGTTCATAGAAAAGTTCTTTTAAAATATCTTTTTATCTTCAAATTACTTACTTCTTGAAGTATTTATTTCCTTGTGGGAACCTAAGAGTTTTACATGTTATAAAAGAATGACGTGGTTCCGTAATTTGGTTTTTATAACGTTAGAGGAAAGTGGTCAATCAGGAGACAATCCCTTTGACATTCAACCAAAGCTCTTTGACTAAATTATCATTATTCTTAAAGAGACTAGAGCGGACCTATTTCACAAGCCTGATGGTGTATTGTGGAATCAGCATTTATTTCATGAAAATACCCACCTCAGTTTTTGTTCCTTTCAAATCAGACAGTTTCAGTATAACTAGGACCTACTACAGTTAGTAAGCACTGGGAAACATTTTAAAACAGTAAAAGCAGCTAATCTAAATCTTAGAGGTTTGAGTATGAAAAGAACTTGCTATTTAGTTAGAATAGCTGCTTCTCTAGAAAAGTAAAGAAGGTTTCAAGAACACAAAATCTTGAAGAAGGTTGGACAAAGAATTCTTAGATTCAACACTAGAAATACAATCCATGAGAGGGAAAAAAAATCAGACTTCATCAAAATTAAATTAATGAATTTAGTTAATTTGCCAGTCATGTATCTGATAAAGGACTTGAATCTGGGATATATATGGAAATCTTACAACTCAAACTAAAAAGGGAAATAATGCAATTAAAATATGAGCAAACGATCTGAAGACCTCACTCCAAAGAAAATATACTAATGACCCATAAGCACAGGAAAAGGTGTTTGACATCATAAGTCATTGGTCGGGGGAGCAAATAAAACCACAAGATACCACTGCATATCCACTAAGATGTGTCAAAACAAAAAGACGGTAACAGCTGGTGAGGCTGTGGGAGAAACTGGAGGCCTCACACATCACTGGTAGGAATACAAAATGATGCAGCTCCTTTGGAAGATAGCCTGGCAGTTCACAGAAAGGTTAAACACAGACTACCTTTGACCTAACAGCAGATACATATATACACACTTTTTTTTTTTTTTTAAAAGAAAGAAAATCTCCCTTTGTGCAAGGATTTTACTTACTGAGGTTCCACTTTAGGCCTGTTGTCGTAACATGATTGCAAGACTGTCCAACAGGAATAAGGCCGCACCAATCACCTTCCATTCCGGTATCTACATGCATTTTGTGCTTTCCCTGAAGTAGAGAAGGAATGACAATCAGCAGAGGGAAGAGAAAGGACAGGACATCAATGTCACTTAAGATCCAGGCCTACGCACCAGGTACCATCCCAGAACTTCACGTGGTTATCATACTTAATCCTAATAACAAATTTAAGTAGTATGTCCTGAATAATCCCAGGAACTTCCACCTGACTTAATCCTAGCCACAATTTTACAAGGTAGTTTATTGTTAGTTGTTACTTTCACACATGAGAAAATTGGTAGTTTACAGAGATTAAATATGTCCAGGACCACACAGATAACCAGGGGGCAGAATCAGGACTCCTAGCTATACTTGCTCATTCTAAAGACTAAACCGATTCCACATGCTAGGGTTTTAATCAAACACTTGCTTAGTGTAAATAAAACATTTCTCCCTAAGTAAAATCTCTACTTTATCTTGTAAGTGGACTTCTAGCTTTCAGAATTCAATGTCAGTCCTGCTAATGGTTAATCTGCTTCCTATGTCCATGGCTACTCTAGAGGACGCTCAGTTCTCCGTGAGAACCTCTACTGGGAAATAGTATCTACCTTGAGGAATGAGTATGCTTCCCCCATCTGGATTATGAAAACTGATATAATTTACTATATTATCAAGTTTTCAGTTTATAAGCAGGTTGACATTAAATGTAATGTTTAATCAAGGCTACAACATTTGCTTTTATATAAAATACTTGGAAATTTCCTCTTCTTCTGAAAAGTAATGACTTTCCCTTACTTTTCTATTCTATTCATTATCCTCAGAATATATGGTCTTTATAGAAAGATACCTCAAGTCCTTATGGGGAAAATGCCAAGGCACACATCTATTCAGTAATGACACAGAAAAGATATTTTCCATAATTCATGTAACCCTGAGGGGATAAAGATGTTCTTTATTTTAATGAAATATTATTTAAAAGCTTAATATATGACACATTACCAGAGTAAGGTACTTATGCCACCTTTTACAGGATTTTATTCTGAGTATGCGTTTTGTACTCTGTTATGGGTTCTGGGAACCTGCTCTGCTCCATAGAAGATCTCAGCGTATGAGCAGGCTTTGTCTTTAGTCAATGGATTGCTTTTATTTGGAAAACGGCTCTCTAAATTACTTATCAGTTCTTGAAATGTAACACAAGTTCATATAGATCTCTACTAACTATACAACTCATAAATATGCATTTCTATTTGAACACTCAATCAGAAGGCATAAATTCAATTAAGAGCGCTTAAATATATTCAAACACAAAGACCATTTAAAGAAAACATAAAATATATCTGAACTTGATGCCCATGACTGGAAGAAAAGATGGGCAACACAGGTAGACAAACACCAAGCGATGGATTAGACACACTCGGAGAAAAGTGGGTGTACTGGAAACACAATGCCCTGTGAAAACAATGCCACACGAAACAGAATTGGGATAAATTACAGAACCCATTGGGGTGCCTGGGTGGCTCAGTCAGTTAAGCATCTGCCCTCAGCTCAGGTCATGACCTCTGGGTCCTGGGATCAGGTCCTGGGATTGAGTCCTGCATCAGGGTTCCAGCTCAGCAGGGAGTCTGCTCTCTCTCTCTCTTTCCCTCTGCCCCTCCCCCATGCCCTCTTGTGCGCGCACATGCTCTCTCTCTCTCTGTCCGTCCCTATCACTTGTTCTCTAATAAATAAAATCTTTAAAAAAAAATTACAGAACCCATCTATGTAAGTTGAAATAAATACAAACACATCAATACACTTTTTCTAACAACAAAATTTAAAAAAGATGTTAAAAATTTAAATATATATAATGTATATATATATGTGTGTGTGTATATATATATGTATATGTACACACACACACACACAAACAGCTTTGCCTATGGGAAGAATAAGGAGAATGAGAATGTGGTAGAGGAATTAAAGGGAAATAGGTTAAATTAAAGGCAAATGGATCAACCAATGAGGATTCTTGCTTGGACCAGAGATAATAATGTGCCACAAACAAACCAGCATAACTGACTCAACACTGAAATCTTATAAAAAGAACAATATGTTGTTTAGATAAAAAGTGATAGAAGACAGAAATTCTTAGACTCCTCTGAAGAAAAAAATAGGGAAATATTTTAATAATTCTAAAGAATAATTCAAGTAAGAGGAATAAGTGGGACATGGCAACGGAAAAAACTCAGGAGTGAAATGAAAACTAATCTTTTTCCTGAATAATGATCTCTGTTGTTGTTTTAGATCAATTCAGAGCAAAGCGCAGAAACTATTATTACAGCTCTGGAAACATTTTACATATTCAGAGTAAAAGCAGTCACTGTCAGAAGACACAGGTTCGGAGGGGTGGAAGAAAGCGCAGGGGCCCTCACCTTCTCATCATGTTACATCCTAAAAGAATCAAGAAATAGTGCCTCGCAATGTCTACAATAGCCAAACTATGGAAAGAACCTAGATGTCCATCAACAGATGAATGGATAAAGAAGATGTGGTATATATACACAATGGAATACTATGCAGCCATCAAAAGAAATGAAATCTTGCCATTTGCGACGACGTGGATGGAACTAGAGGGTATCATGCTTAGTGAAATAAGTCAATCGGAGAAAGACAACTATCATATGATCTCCCTGATATGAGGGAGAGGAGATGCAACATGGGGGGTTAAGGGGGTAGGAAAAGAGTAAATGAAAGAAGATGGGATTGGGAGGGAGACAAACCATAAGTGACTCTTAATCTCACAAAACAAACTAAGGGTTGATGGGGGTAGGGGGGGTTGGGAGAGGGGGGTGGGGTTATGGACATTGGGGAGGGTATGTGCTATGGTGAGTGCTATGAAGTGTGTAAACCTGGCGATTCACAGACCTGTACCCCTGGGGATAAAAATATATTATATGTTTATAAAAAATAAAATTAAAAAAAAGAAAAGAAATAGTGCCTCAAGGGGTAGACTTTTAAAGGGGAGGGATTTATAAATTGCTCCTGGCCTGAGTAGCTGGTAATATGGGTAGCGTGCCTAAGACCAAAAAGGGGACCGAGAAAGGAGTCTTGAAATGTCTCTGGCCTCCCTCATAAACCTCCATGCCAGCGTCCAAGATGTGACTCACGCAGCTGTCCATACGAACAGTGTCATCACTGCATGGAGGGGGAGGCACAGAGTAGTAGGGAAGATGCTGATCAGAGACCTGATCAGGTGCAGAGGAGTCGGGGGCAGAATGTAGGCCAGGGGTTCCCTGCTGCCTGTGAGGGAAGAGAAATCAACTCTGTGGAGGGTGCACGCGTGCAAAGCCGTGACTCGGTGGCAGGACACTCACTGATGGGGTCAGGCAGGGAGGGTGGGATAGTGGGGCACAGGAGGTTGTTAGGGCAGTGAAGCTGTTCTTTGGGACATGACGAACACGTGACCTTACGTATTTGTCAAGACCCAAAGAATCCATAACACAAACAGTGAGCCCTAAAGTAAATTATGGGCTTAATAAACAATAATAAACAATACTGGTTCATCACCTGCACACAAGTCCCCCACTAATGCAAGATAATAGGGGAAATTGAGTTGGAGTGGAGATATATGGAAACTTTGTCTAATTGGCTCAATTTTCTGTAAACCCTAAAACCATTCTAAGAATAGTCTACTAATTAAAAAGAAAAAAATCTCTCCGTGACCCCTCCGTCTCTCATCCCTTAATGGGACTGGCAGCACTGTGACAGTAGGCGTGCCACCTCTGACAGCCAGGAGCCCAGTACTGCACCGAGAGAAACATGCAGCCACTTCTCAGCACCGTTACAACTTAGGTGGCTTTTCTCCCCCTAAAAAACAGGGCTTTGTTTGTTTAAACCATGCGCTGCCTTAATTTCTTCATACAGAATTTTTCCCTCAGTTGATTTACGTTGGCTAGCTTTGTCAGACGAGTTTGAGCATTGTTTCTCCCTACCACTCTCCCTTACAGAAATAACTCTGAAGCTATAGATGCTAAATATAACACAAATTATCGTCCACGGATGCAAACATAACACACTTTAACAAACTCTGAAAGCCTCCTTCATATGAAAGGGAGTCTTGTGGAAATTCTGATTTCTTTAGGAGTGCTTTGGTTTAAGTAGCAAAGGAATAGGAAGTGGTGGTGGCTTTTCCCGTTGGTGGATCCTGGCCTGATAAGGGCTGTCCTGCCGGGGTCCACATCAGAAAGCAGAGCATACCGGAGGGGCTGCAGGTAACCCGCAGCCTCCTGAGCACTGGGTTGCAGGTAGGAACAGAAGGGCAGGAACGCCCACCCAGCCAAGAGGGCTCTACCTCTGTCTCGGGTAACAGCATCTTTGACAATGGGGCCCACTGTTAGAGACTGGGACTTCATTCCTTATCAAAGAGGGATTTGTGTGTCCTTATCTTATTTTTAGTGTGTTATAGTTAATCCCTATCTTTGACTGAAGGCCTTCCTCCCTGTTTGTGGTCTACGTGACAGTTTGGTCGTGGTTAGCTAAACACATTAGTATGTTTGGTGTTCCAGCTAACTTCTGTAGAGAATGATAAGGGAGCTGGGTGGGGAGGGGTTGGGGGTGATACAGGCGATGTGGATTAGGGAGTGCATTCTTCACAATGAACACTGGGTGATGTATGGAAGTGTTGAATCAGTATATTATACACCTGAAACTAATATAACACTATGTTAACTACACTGGAATTTAAAATTAAGAAGAAAAAAAAAAAAGAATGGTGAAGGAAGTAAGTAATGATTTCTCAACTGGTAGACATTAAGTCCCTAAGAGAAGATTCTTCAACTTGCATCATATAATGCAAAGGAAACAGCACATATACATGTTAAGTTTTATTATCCCAGGGAGAGGATGCTGTTATAAAATCCACTGATTTAAATGACACGGTGGTAAGCTTTCTTTTCTAGGCTGGCTATATATCCATTGCCTTCCTCATTATGTTAACATTCAACACACCTTAAAATTTTTAACCTGGGAATAAACTAGTTTGTGAACTTGAGAAGTCACAGATAGGTTTAAGC